TGCCTTAAGCACTGTGCTACCAGAGCTCATATATATAGATAGATAGATAATGTGAATTTTATTAGAGAGTAGCACAGGTACAGAAAAGGGTATAGGTGTTTACTCTTGAATGTTTTGCTTAAAAAAAAAAAAAAAGTGCTCCAGAAAGCAAATCCTTTGAACTAGCACTCTGATCAAGAAACAGACCCTTACCAGAACCCCCAAAAGGCACCTCCTGGCCCCCTTCCAGTCACTGACCCCCTCCATGAGTAACCAGGACTCTGACTTCTGTTACCAAAGTAAGTTTTGTCTGTTTTAAAACTTTACATCAATGACATCATAGAGTAGGGACTCTTTTGTGTCCGGGTCCCTTCACTCAACATTGTAAGATGCACACATGTTGTACTGAGTGGGTATTTTCTCCTTCCATTGAATGGACGTCCCATCATTTTTCCATCTGTCTTGGTGTTGACAGGTATTTGAGCAGTTTCCATTTTCAGCTACTACAATTAGTGCTTCTGTGAACATTCTTAGGTACATACGGTGAGCTCTCATATGCTCTATAATTGGGTATGCACCTAGGAGCGGAATTGCTGGCTCATATATGTTCAGCCTTAGTAGAGACTAACAAACATTTTCCCAAGGGGTAGTGCCAATTCCACCTCCCACCACAAGTGTACAAGAGTTCCACTTACTCCACAATGACACCAACACTTGATACTATGTTTATCATTTTAGCCAAGTTGGTGGCTGTGTAGTGATAGAGTACTGCTATTTTTAATACACATTTCCTTGACAACAACTGAAGTTGAGTGTCTTTCCACATGTTTGTTGACCATTTGAACAGCCCATTTTTCTATTGGATTATCTGCCTTTTCCTATTGATTTGTAAAAACTATTTATATATTCTTTATATACTCTGGGTGTGAGTCTCATTTGTTGAAAAGATGTACTGCAAGTATCTTCTCCCACCAGAGAGTTACATTAAAAAATACATATATTTATTTTTAAAAACAGCACTTTTTTTTTTAAATAATCAAGCAAGAGAAAAGTGTATAAGAGAATAAAAAGTGGACATTTTCTTCCACCCGGGTGAGATAAACATGGTTAAGAATTATACACCTAACAATAGACTTAATGACACACATTGTGCATTTTTCCACTTCTCAGTGCACCTGATAAACATTTACATTATCTCTGTTTTACAGAGGAGGAAACTGAGGCACAGAGAGGCTTGATGTAACGAGCCTGGATTTGAGCCCAGGCATCTCTAACTGTGACCTTCAACCCCTTTGTTATGGATCTAATTTTGATTCCCAGAAGATATGTTTAAGCCCTAACCCATAGTACCTGTGTATATGACATTATCTGGAAATAGTGTCTTTGCAAATGTAATTAGTTAAGTTACCATGAGGTCATATTGGAATAGGGTGGACCCTAACCCGATATAAGGAGAGGAGAAGGGATAGAGACACAGAGAGAAGACAGCCATTGGAGATGGAGACAGAAATTGGAATTATGCTGCTATGAGCCGAGGAACGCCTAGGTCTACCAGAAGCTAGAAGAGACAAAAATCTTTCTTTAAAGTCTTCAGAGATAGCATGGCCCTGCCAACAACTGGCGTTCAAACCTCCGGCCTTTGAAATAGTGAGTGAATTCATGTCTATTGTTTTAAGCCACCCGGTTTGTGGTAACTTGTTATAGAAGCCACAGGAAACTAATACGAACTGCAAGTAACTCCACGTTCCCTTGGCCCAGAGGGCTGGAGGTTCTCCTAGACTCTGTCTCTGGGGCACACTTTCCTCCGAGATGTCTTTCCTGGGCTCCAGCCAGAGCTGCACGTGTCTTCACTTTTGGATCTTGATCTCTGAATATTCTGTGGTGTTGGCAGCCTCCTGTTTCTGGGAGGTCCAGGGACTCACCCCTTCAAAGTTGACGGAGGCGTAATGGAGCTCCTCCTCCTCCTCCCTCGCGGTGGGGGGGGCCTCAGCTGGGCTGGGGTGGTTGGAGGGGCTGCCTGACCAGGCTCCATGCAGGTGACCCTGAGTGGGACAACAGAGGGGATGAGTGCAGGCCACTGGGTCTGAAGAAGGAAGCAGGCGTCCTCAAGAGGACTTGGGGCTGGTGGATGTTTACTCATTTATCAGTTCCATACACATTTCTTGAGGACTCACTCATTCATTCACAACAAATTTTAATCACTATCACGGCCTACCATTGTTGTCAGTTGGCTTTGAGTAGATTCTGACTCATAGTGACCCCATGTGTGCAGAGTAGGGTGGTTTTTTTTTCTTTGTAGTAAAATGTATACATAACAAAGTGCTTGCCATTCTAATATTTCTTACATACACAATTCAGTAACAGTCATTGTTTTCATCATTCCTTGCAACCATCACCACTATCCATGTCCAAATTTTGCTGCATAACTTTTCAGGACTGGTGTTTTGGAGGCAGATCTCCTGGCCTGTTTCCAGAAGTGCCTCAAAACCAAACCAAACCAAACTCACTGCCACTGAGTCGATTCCGACCCACAGCAAACCCCATTAAGGGTGTAAATCTTTACAGAAGCAGACTACCTCAGCTTTCCTCCACAGGGTGTCTGGTGTGCTTGAACCGCCAACCCTTTGGTTAGCAGCCAAATGTCCTAATCACGACACCACCACGGCTCCTTCCAGAAGTGCCTCAGGGTGTGTTTAAATCATCAGCCTTTCACTTGCAGGGCAGTACTTAACCGTTGGTGCCCACGCTTGTCACTAAGCCACTGAATTCTTCCACCCCTCTCTGCAGGTGACATAACTCCATCCCCATTTTACAGACATGAAAACAGACTGAGTGAGGTTAAGTAGCTCTTACAAGGCTCTATCCAGGCACAGGGCACACTGTAATAAACAACTTGTCTGATTGACTTTAGACAATCAGAGAGAGAAGACACTATCACATCATCCCAAAAATCTAATCGTGAGTTGTAATTTGCCAGACAGAAGCAGGGTGTCATGAGTGAGATTCACAGAGCTGTGAACTACAGGTCCACAAGGGAGCTCTCAATGTGGTGGGGGAGAGACCTGTGATCATGAGGCTGTGTGACAAGTCCTAGGGGTCCCTGGGTGGTGGAAACCATTAACCCACGGGGCTGCTAGCCTCAAGGTTGAAGGTTCAAACCCACTCAGAGAAAATGCTGCTGGTCTACTTCCAAAAATGCAGCCCCTGAAAATCCTGTGGAACACAGTTCTACTGTGACACTCATGGGATGGCCGTGAGTCAGCGTTGACTCCATGGCCACTGGTTGGGTGGTGAATTCCTGGCTCTGGGAGATGAGGAAGAGGAGAGACGGAAGGGTAAGTCCCAGGTCTCTGGTCTGTGTGGCTGCAGCAGGAAACCAGCAGAAGGAACACATTTTGGGGAAAGTGTGGAGCTCAGTTCTTGTCGTGCTGAGCGGGCCCTGGTGGACCATCCCCAGGGAGACTTCTAGCTGGGACACAGGATGAAAAGATGCCCACAAGACTCACCTGGGAGGGGGTCCCCAGCACAGGGTGGATGTCATCTACGCCTTCTGCTGCTCCATCTGATTTCTTCTTGAAGATCTTCACTCTGAGCAAAGAGAGCAGAGTCTTTCAACCTGGCTGTCTGTCTGTTAAAGGAGATCTGATGGCACAGTGGTGAAGACATTTGGCTGCTAACCACAAGGTCAGCGATTCGAACCCACCAGCCGCTCCACAGAAGAAAGATGAGGCAGTCAGTTTGCATAAACATCTACAGCCTTGGAAACCCAATGGGGGTTGCTATGAGTTGGAATCAGCTCGATGGCAGTGGGTTGGGTTGGGTTTGGGCTGCTGTTAGGAGCCTGGAAGGAGTGACTGAGCTGGGGAGATGAGACCTGCTGTCCAGCTTCAGACCATGAAGAAAACCCAAGCACCCTCCTCTCAACAGCTGGAGCCAGGTGTTGGGAACAGACCCTACACCTGGCCAAGATGGCAGAAGGCTAAATTCTTTGTTTTATTCTTTGGCCTTGCCCAAGTGAGCACCACGTCATGGAATCTGTGGTTGCTATTGGCAGCTGCGGAGTTGGTGCCACACTCGTGACCACCCCGTACACAGTGGACGGAACGGCTAGCCTGGTCTGCGTCATCCCCGTGGTTACGAATCCGACCATGGTGATCCTTACGGCTCTCACTGGCTGATATTCAACAGGAGACCAGCAGGGCACTGTTCCTAGTCTGCCTTAGTCTGGAAACTCCACTGTACTCTGTTCAGCAACACTCCAGCCTCCACGGACAGACAGGTTGTAGCTGCACCTGGGGTGCACTGGCCAGGAATCAAACCCAGGTCACCCGTATGGAAAGCAAGGAGTTTTCCACTGAACGACCAATGCACCCATAATCCTGGAGTCTCCTTGAGAGATATTGATCCTACTGTTTAACTTCTTAAAGATAAATTTGGAGTGAATCCTGCAGGGTTGACAGCTACAATATACCACAGCCTCCCTTGAGCTATTGAGGAGTCCAGGATGTACAATCAGGCCATGGGCTCGATGTGCGTCCAACAGCTCTTGGACTTGTTAATAACAACAGGAACCATGCACAGTGTTTTAAATGGTACGAAGGAGGTACTGTTATTCCACTTACATGAAGAACAGACCCAGACAGAATGCAAGCAAGGCCACGACGCCGGCTGCCCAGGCGGCTTCCTGAACCACTGTTGACCACGTCCCGGGCTTCTCTGCAGACAAGTGATATCTGGGGTGAGACCCTATGCCCCGAATCAGGCATCTGAACAGACCGTCTTTGCCGATCCATGATGTGTGTGTGTGCCCACTTCTGTCCGGGACCCCTTGGTCCCCCACCACTCTATACGACCACATTCCCCTCTTCCCCCAGCCTGCTCCCAGGTCAAAACACCTAGAACCGTGCACCACAGTTCCCTCCTGCCCTGGGCTCAAACCCACTTCTCCCGCTCTCAGTATCTCCGAGGACCCAGGTTCATGTCATCTCCTCGCCCAGGCATCAGTCTTCAAATCCTCTCCCTGACTTGGCTGGACCAGTGACACTGTTGTCCCCGTGGGGATTCTGGATGTCACAGCGGAGCCTGAGGCCAGACCTGAGTTCTGTGCTGAGGCTCAGGACTAGTGGTGGCCAAGTAAATGTGACTGTGCAGGACCCTTGATACCGTTCCCCTCCACCAGCCTGCCCCCAACCATCGGCTCCGGTAAGGGGCTGGCCAGGCTCAGGGAGAGCTGCCGGAGCTCAGAGCACCTGCACAGGAAGCAGGAGCAGGAAGCTGTGAGCAGCTATGGGGGTTCCCTGGAGAGCAAGGGGGAGGTTCGGTAGGTGGTTCTGAATTCACCAGGAGTCCTTCCCCCAGATATCTCCCAACTCACTCTTCACAGAGAGGTTCAGAGAGTCTTCCTGGAAACCCAGAGGGTTTTGAGCGTGACAGATATATCTCCCACTGTCTCCCAACTCCACCGCAGGCAGTTCCAGGACTCCTGGGTTCCAGGACTGTGTGAGGCTCAGGGTTTGGTTTCCCTTTGCCCAGCTCAGCCTGGCGGGTGGATTGCTGTCAACCACACAGATCAGACGCAGGGACTGGCCCTCTAGGACTGGAAGAGATGAGTTGCTGCCCAGGGCTTCAGGTTCTGGAGAAGTGGAGAGAAAGTTAAGCCCAGACACAGTTCAGAGCCCCTTCTTTTCCTTTCATCACAGATTTGCCCCTTCTCTTCACTGATGGATGGAATTGTAGTGTCTGGGTTCAACCCCAAGGAAACAGGGCTAGGAGCCACCTCTGTCATTTGCCCGTGTGCATTTGTGTGACTGGCCTGGTTCCCATGCCTCCTCTCCTGGCTACACGTACAACTCCGATCCCAGATATACCTCCAGGAATCCTGCCATGTAGTCTCTCGGCAACAGTGCTCTGTGGCCTGTTTGATTTAGCTGTGTCTGAGGAGCTCACAGTCTCGTGAGTAAGATTGTGAAAAACACACACTCACAAGACCATTTGATACCTTTAGTGAAGGACTCAAGCTGAGGGGGTCTTGAGAATGGGCAGCTCAATGAGACTGTTGGGACAAGGAGGGCTTCCTGGAGGAGGAGAGGTTTAAGTACAGCATGAAGAATAGATAGGAGCTGGCTACAGGGTGATGTCAGCATGGAAGGATATTATGAGAAGCAGGTACCAGAGAGGACACTACACCTGTGAGGGAGGTGAAATGGCCTTGCATGATCTTAGTCTTGTAAGTCTTGAGTAAATAGGTATGTTTGGGGGGGCTCAGGCATGAGGAGCCCTGATGGTGCAACAGTTAAGCTCTTGGCTGCCAACCCAAAGGTTTATGGTTCTAACCCACCCCCCAGTGGCTCCCTGTGAGAGAAGACCTGCTGATCTGCTTCCAGTTACAGCTAGAAACCCCAATGGGGCCGTTCTGTTCAATCACATGGTTGCCGTGAGTGGAATAGAGACCCAACAGCAGCAGTCAACCACAGAGATGAGGTTACTGGAC